GGCACCTGGGCCTCGACGTCGCAACCGTGGACTCACTCTTCGACTCCGCCCCGGACGAGCGCGGCGAGAGATGGGAAAAGATTTCGTCGCACGGGAGCTCCGTTCCTCTCGCGATCGGTCTCGCGCTGAGCGACGCGGGCCCAGCTGCATTCGGAGACCGCTGTCGGGCCCAGGCGAGGCCGCTCGACGGGGGGCCTAGGGGCGGCAGCGAGCTTGCGCATCACAAGCTGCAGCCCTTCGCCTCTGAGACGGATCTCCGGCCCGCAGCGCTGGCGCCGAGGAGCGTGATTGACAGCCTCCACGCTCCGAATATATGGGACGCAGCCCGACCCTACGATGATAGAATCCAGATGTGAGCCCCCCGCGCGGCCACTGCACGCATACTCCGTGGGCGCCCTTACGATATGGCCATCGATCTTCAAAAACCCAGGGCGTGCCATGATGGCAGCGTCGATGCTGAAATCGCCTGCGGTGAACCACGGCAGCTGCAGGCCCCCGACGAAGGCGCCGACCGTACCGAAACGAGAGAGACCCCCCATCGAAAAGCCGGTGCTGGGCAACCCGTACACGATGATGATCGCGCGTTTGGGTGGACGACGACGGGCACGAAGCCATCGAAAGCGTCGTTGCCCGCAGCGCAGTAGGCTGGCAGGTCGCGAGCCTCCTCCGCGAAGCGCTGCGCGCGCCTGCAGATGCGGGCCAGAGGACGACCTCCCCGCCCTCCGCGGCCCTCTCGCGCGCCGCCTCGGACTTCCCCTTGCCCGAGCCACGCGCACCCCTGTCGAGGTGGCGCCACTTGGTGGCCTGCGCCTTGCGAGCCCACTCGCCGCGCATGGGTCCGCTCCCCTGCGCGCGAGACTCCACGCTGCCCACGCACTGCTCCCGCGCGTCGCGACTCCCGAGGCAGGCCCGCGACTTCTTCCCCGGCGCGGCGGCGCTCGCGAAGGACATGAAGCAGTCCCCGCCGTCGCTGCCCTCGCTCGGTCTCCTGCGCCTCTGCGAGCTGGTGGGCGCCAGCCTCGGCGCCCTGCGACCCTGCGGCAAGGCTGGCCGAACCTCCAGCCGCCTCCGCGGATCACGCCGCGGCGGTGGCCGCCGCGGCCGCGGCGGGCGAAGGAGCCTGCTGAGGCCCTGCTGCCGCCGCTGCCGCCGCTGCTGCCGCTGCCGCGCGCTCGCCCGCCGCCTTGGCTATGCGGATCTTCTGCGCCTCCTGCTCGATCTCCTCGGCCGTCGGCGCCGCTGGCCCTCCAGCGGGGGCTGCTGCCGAAGGCGCCGACGAGGGCTGCGCTGCACTGCAGCTGCCGCCGCCTGCCGCAGCTGCGGCGGTGCCGCCTGCGGCCTCGGTCTTCCCCTTCTTCTGCAGCCGCTCCAGCTGCTTCCTCTTGAGGTCGACGGCCGAGCCTCGAACTGCTTTTTGAGCTTCTGCCCCTCATCTGAGCACTCCATGCCATCGGTGTCGTGGCCGCTGGCGCCCCAACTCAGATCGATGAGAGGTGGGCCCTCGCCGCTGCCGCCGACACCGTCGGTTGCTGGGCCTGCGCCTGCGGCATCCTGCTGCGATGGCGATGTTGCTGACTGCGCAGCGCCAGTCTCGCGGGCGAGCGCCTGCGCGGCCACTCGCCTGCTGATGGCGACCGCGGCCAGCGCCCCAGCCGCCTCTGCCTCGCTCAGCTGGGCCTCGGCCAGGCTCTCTTGACAACGCGAGACCTGGGTTGCTGCCTGCCCGTGCTGAAGGTAAGCCTGCTTCCAAGCACCCTCTGCCCGCCGCACGGCTTCGCCCGCTGAGACCGTGCCGGGCGATGTTTGCGCGCCCTTCTCGAGCGCGTGCGTGTGGGACACCAGCGTTTGCTTCAGCATGTGGTCACCGGTGACGGCCGCTGCCTGCGCAAGCAGGCCCTGGACAGTGGGCTGCGCCTTGCTCATGTCATGTCACGAATCGACGTCGAGCCCTGATCGTTCTTGCTCTTGCTCGTGTACGGACGCACCTGCCGCGAACATTTCCTGCTCTTATATACCTGCTGGCCTGCAGGGCATCGTTCCGCTCGTGTGTGCTGCAAGCTCTTTGCAGGTGGACCACGCGCGTGCGTGCGGTGGTCGCGATGGTGCAGAGCCTCCCTTTGCTAGCGAGAGCGCCAGCCTGAACTGGAAGGAATCGGGCTGGTGGCTCGCTGCCCCTCAAGCACGACTTGGAAGCGAGAGGCCTCGGTACGAGTCTGCAACAAAATGAAGCGCTCGTGCCGATATTGCTTGAGAGGAAGATGAGGAGGAGGAGGAGGAGGAGGAGGACAGGGGGAGGAGGAGGAGGAGGAGGAGGAGGAGGAGGGTCATCTATCCACTGACCTTCGGCCCATCCAGTCACCTTCTCTTCCTCCTCCTCCTTCTCCTCCTCCTCCTCCTCATCCTTCCTCCTCATCCTCCTCCTCCTCCTTCTCCGCCTCCCGATGTGCCCGATGTTTCACGCGCCATGGGGGTCAAGCCCCGTAGGGCCCCGCGGCGGCGCGGCGGCCGACGGCCGACGGCCGCCGCTCTTTCCAGCTGTTGGCCGCTGGGCGCCTCTTCTTTCCAGCACCTGGCCGCTGGGTGCCTTGGCTTTCCAGCTGTTGGCCGCTGGGCACCCCTTGTCTTTTGCAGTGGGCGCCTTCTTCTTGGTGGGCCCTTCCTCGACGAGACGAAGCTGCCTGCTTGTCACGCAGGCTGCTGGCAGCATCCCTTCGGCGCATCGCACTGTTGCTGCCAGTGAGGAGCCAGGCCGCTCCTTGATGCCCGTAGCGGGTCGTGCGGATATGGCGTATGTCCACCTTTCTCGCACGCCTGGGGGCAGCGCTGTCCTGCTTGTCCTGCTTGTCACGCAGGAGACTGGCAGCAACCCTTCGGCGCCTGACGCTGTTGCTGCCAGCCTGGGAGCTTGGCCGCTGCTTGAGGCCTGACTGTTGGCTCGTGCAGGTATGGCGTCTCACTACCTTTCACGCACGCCTTGTCAGGCCTCACGTCCTTTGGCCCGAGCCTCATTGTTCTTTAACCTGTGCCCCGCATATTCTCCTGCATGAGCTCCGTGAGGAGGCCAGACAGATGTGGTTACCCACCTTTCGCGTCTGGCCTCCTTGCCATCTGCAGGCTGCTCGTGCGGATGTGGCGCCTCACCACCGTTCGCGCACGGAGTTTTCCAGAGGTCTTCACTGCTGTCATGCTCGTGGGGAGTGGGCAGTCGGTAGGGTGGGTCGTGGTCGGTTTGGGGCTGGGTTGGGCGTGGGGCTGCGGGTCGCACATCGTGGCCTCCATGCACCGACTTCAGGTGGGTTTCGCCGCGGTCCCGCCTCGTCCCGCTATGGCTAGGGGCCACAGTGCCCTCGGTGGGGGGCGAACCCCGGGCCTCCTTGTGCTTGGTGTTGCGTGTGCTGGGCTGAGTCGCATCTGCCCTGTGCTCCGCCTGGTCGGCGTTCGGTTGAGCTCCTCCTCCAGCATGGGGATAGTGGGGGTGACGAGCTAGGGCGGACCGCGGGGGCGCGGGTGGTGGCCGTCCCACCCCCCCTACCCCTCACCATCCCCCCCTGGCGGCCGCGGGCAGTACTCGTCCTGCCCCCCGCCCTTCGAGCCCGTCTCGAAGTTTGATCCTTGCCTCTCGAGGGCGTCCGCGACTAGGTCTGTTGGCTGGTGCTGTGGTTGAGTGATGGGCGTTAGTGAGGGGTCGGCCTGCGTGGGGAGCGTGCGCTCGCGTGGCGACTTGAGCCTGAGGTGTTCCCACGCATTCGGGGCTTCCTCAGGACTTTGCCTCCTAACGCCTGCAGCTCAACGTGGCGACATTGCCTGGGGTGTTCCCACGCATTCGGGGCTTCCCCAGGACCCTGCGTACTGACGCCACGGTTTGTACGAGCCACGTCTTGGTGGTGTAGGGCTTGGATTTGCCGTGGCCGTACGTCTTGGCTGGTATGGGCGTGGGAAGCTGGTGGAAGGCGCACGTAGTGGTGGGTGAAAAGCCGCACCTGCCTCCACCTCCATATCTCTTCCATTCCTTCCCCATGCATTCACCGAAGTAGCACGCGGCTCAGGGCGCCGCGAGGTCCGATATCACGCGGGTGGCCTCTCAGGAGGTGGCACGGGTTCAGGACGTGGTAGCTGGGATAGCCGAAGCAGTGACGCCTCAGCTGGACGGTGATGTGGCCTGGAGACTGGCGCCGCCACCCTCGATGCCATGTTTTCGGCGCTTATCTCGCATTCATGGTCGAGCAATGAATGCTCGTGTGGGGGTCTCCCTCTCGTCCTGTAGTGTTCCTCGCATGCTCTCTCACTGCGCCCGAGCCCCGCGGCCTCTCGCGGCAGGCCCGCGCGGCAGGTGCAGCAGGTGCGGAGGCAGGGACGGCCACGGTGCCCCCGCCGCGGCCGCCGTGGCCGTGGCGGGTGCCGCGGCTGCCGCTGCAGCCTGCGTCGCCAGCGCAGCGAAGGCTGGCCTGGGCCCCCGCGCCGACGTCTGCGTGGCTGCCGCAGGGGCCCGGACCCTCTCTGCGCCTCTGGGGGCGCTCGGGCGGGGGGCCTCGGACGGGCACCTCCGTCCATGCTCGCGGCTGCCTCTGAGCGCGGCGCCGTGCCGGTTGCCGCCGAGCCGGTGCGAGGGGCGGGTTGCGCTGGTTGCGCCGGAGCTGCGGGGCGGCGGGGGCGAGCTGCGCGAGGCCTGCCACCGCAGGCGCCCCTCTCTCGCTCCCTGGGCGCCTCTGTTCGAGCCGCGTGCTGCCTCGGCTCCGAGAGAGAGAGGTCGGGCCCGCGGGCCCTCATCTTCTCTTGGCTGCAGTTCCGTCGGGCCTGTCCCTCTGCACGGAGGAATGTTCAAAAAAGGTGCGGGGACGATTTTGGGACCATTTTTGCTTTGTTCCGTGTACTGTTGGAAATGTTTAATCTTTCGCTTGGAATCCGCCTGTAGGGGGACACGCCCGACCTAAGGCTGCCGGGGGATCCTCACTGGTCGTCGCGTCTGCGGGCCGCCCTGTGCTGGGGCCCCAGGCGGGCGCCCTGGGTCTCCTCCTCCTCCTCCTCCTCCTCCTCCTCCTCCTTCCCCCTTCGCTCGGGGTGCGCCGCGCGGAACTTGCCTCGAGGGCAGCACCGGCCGGCGGGTGCCCGTCGCAGCCTGGCTGGCGGCAGCCGCTGCCGTGCTGGCCGCCGCTGCCGTGCTGGTCGCCGTTGCCGTGTGGGTCGCTCCTAGTACTTAGTGGGCCCTGAAAACGACAGGGCCGTTTTTTTGCCGGTTCCGTTTTGCCGTTTTTTGGGCGGTTCCGACGCCGTTGTTTTTACCGGTTTCGTCGCCGTTTTTTGACCAGTTCCGGCTCCGGTTCCAATCTTGGTGGCGTTTTTTTGCCGTTTCCGGTCGCCGTTTTTTGCCGTTTCCATTTTCAAGGGACATTTTTGGGGAAACGGTGAAAAAACGGCCCTGCCGTTTCTGGGGCCCAGAAAGTCCTGGTAGTACAGTGGGGGCGCGCATCAAGAAACCACATGCTTTTCGTCAGGGTATCCTGGGTTTCTTCGCTTCTCGCGCTGCGCGGTGACCTCCCGCAGCAGTTGAAGGAGCTGCTGCGTTCAGGGTGCTCCAGGTTTCCGCCCAGGTGCACCCCGCGCACGGGTTCTCAGGGTTGGGTTTCTTGCGAGGGTTTCTTGCGGCCGCGCCCGCACTGTAGCCGTTGCCGTGCTGGTAGCCGTTGCCGTCGTGCTGGCCGAAAGTGTAGCCGTCGCCCTATGTGTAGAAGTTGTTGTACTGGCCCTTGCTGCATCCTTGCTTGTAGCCACAGGTCTTGAAGTACGTGTCCCTGTTGTAGTCGTACTTGCAGCCGCGGTTGTCGTTGCTCCACGCACTCCCCTGCTGGTTGTCATTTGAACTGTCGCCACACTTGTAGCCGATGTTCTTGTGACATTCAGTCCAGCCGGCGCGAGGGTTAAAAACGACTGCAGCTTTGGATGAGGTGCCCACGTGCCTTTCGCCGTTGGGCTCTCCACCTTGGACTGCTGTTCGTTTGGGATACAGCCGGGGCGCTGAAGAAGGAGCCCTTTTCGCTGGGGAGGGGCTCGGTGTTCCTTGAATGTGTTGAAGTTTGCCTCGGGCTTTCCTGAGGTTTTCCACGGGAAGTCGAGGTTGAACTTATGGGAGAAAGGGGCCTCGTTCCTTATTTGGGGTTCCTTCGGTCAACGCCCCGACTGTATCTCCATGGGTTCCTGGGCCCTTGACCCGACTGGAGGGGGCTCGCGGAGGGGGGCCCGCCCTGGCCGCTGCGCACCACGCAGGCGACCTGCCGCGCCCGGGAGAAGAAGTGCCACCTGGATCTCCCGACCCCGAGCACGTCGGAGAACAGATACAAGAGAAGCACACGAACCTTTGTCGGGGGTGGACATAACCCCCAACAGTGACACGTCGATTAGTGAATTGTCCGTTTTCGGTTCTCGAGAGGGCGCCGTGGCCGTTATTTTCCAGGCTTCGCCCGCCAGGTTTGGGCCTCAGGTCGTTTTCACTAAACCACGTTTTGCTAAAGGGGGTTCTGTCCATCCCCGACTTTGGAGGGATCCGCGCGGAGTTCTCGGGTCGGCGCTGGCGCTCCCTGAGGGCGGCGCCTCCGGCGCCGCCCCTGGCGCGCTGCGCGCGGCGGGGAGGGCCGCAGGAGCTCAGTATCGTTCAACCGATCCCTATCCCCATCCCCACCCACATCTGGAGCCCCACCGTCTCATCACCTCAGTTGGGGACATGCCCCTCGAAAGCCGAGGATAGCAGCCCACATCCCCATCCAGGGGGGTAAATCGGCCAGTGGGGCCCAGCCCACGCTGGTGGGCATGGGGATCGGTTCAAAGATGCTCAGAAGCGGCCGTGGCCATGCGGACCTCGGCTCCCACTGGCGCGTGGCCTTTGCGCGCGCAGCTCAGGGCGGGAACAGCGGCGAGGCGGCCCGCTCTCGTGGCGCGCGGCCTCTCCACCTGCTTGGGCCGGCCTCGCGCCTCGCCAGCCTCGGCGCGGCAGCACCTCGCGGCCACGCGCACGAGGGGCTCCGGTAGGTTCGTGTCGTGTCGACCAGCGGCGACCCCGCCGCCGGCGTCCAACGTGGAACGCCACGGGCGATCGAGCATCGCTCGATGTGAAGCGAGTTGACGTTTTGGACACGGCCGAGCGTTCGCCAGAAGCCAATGCCGAAGTCGGCACGGCACGAGTCTGCCCCCTTGTGCGCGCCGCCAATCATCATGTCCTCCAAGAGGTTCCACAGTCCACCCGCATAGTGAGGGTGGGCAACCCTCCCAAGGGTACCCTTGCAGCCCTGCCTCCTCTGTCCATCCTTGGCCACTCCCGTTGGCCGCGCCCCGCCCGAGGTGCTTCGACATGGGCGTCCAAGGCCCTTGCAACCCCACCGCGCATCCTGATGATACGGGCCGTCCGTAGCGCCTCGCATCTGCGCTCCCGGCATGCCGGTCCGGTGTTGGTCGCCGCAGCCGAAGCCCTGCGGCGGCAGCGTGTGGCGTTGCGGGCCTCGAGTCGGCCATAATGGCGCGGCGGACGGTGCCACGCTGGGGCGCCGCTGTGGCTGCCCCGGTGCGGGGGGCTCGGGCTGTCGCGCCTGTGGGCCCTTCTCCTCTCCATCCCTCGTCCCTCCTCCTCTGCATACTCCTCCTCCCCTTCCTCCTCCCCCTCCTCCGCCCTCCCCCGTCTCTTGCTCCTGCCTCTTGCTCGTCCTCCCTCCTCCCCCTCCTCCGGCCTCCTCCCTCTTGCTCATCCTTATGCCTCCCCTCCTCATCCCATGGGCTTCCTCCCTGCTCCCCCACTGCCCCTCCTGCCTTCCAACTCCTGTTCCCCTCCCCTCTCCCTCGCCACCGGAGCGACGCAGAAAACCAGGTTCGACTGTGCCGACGTTCGCGCGTGAGCTGCCTGCGTAAGATGGCGCGTGAGCTGCCTCGCTTCGAAGGCAGCGTGCTGCGCTGGCCGCCTGCGTACGAGACCACTTTCGTTTCGTCGCTCGCCTGCCCTCCCTCGTCCGTTCCGCTGCGCCTCTTCCGTCCTAGTCGAAGAAGAAGGGTGCATTGGCCATGTGGCGAAAATGTGAGACAAATTGTACAAATTGAGCTGTCAGCCGCACAAATGATGTAAGACATAAACAAGCACATGAGCACGAATTTAACGACTACCCGGCGTCACAGTATGTGTGCACAGCGGAGAGCCACGCCGTCGCCGAATCAGAGCCCTGAATCATCAGGGCTGGGGGCGGTCAGGGATAGCTACAGATTCGCGCCTCGGGGGCCCAAGCTGGAGCTACCCCAGACTGCAGTCCAGGGAACTCTGGCCAACCCTCCCGAATCATCATGGCTGCCAGCAGTCGCGGGTAAGTGCAGATTCGCGACTCGGGGGCCAAGACTGGAGTTACAACGGACCGCAATTATCCCGGATAACTCTGGCGCCCAACCCTCCCGAATCATCAGGGCTGGGGGCAGTCAGGGATAATTGCAGATTCGCGCCTCGGGCGCGGGCAATATTATAATCACATCCACTGCCTCTTGGAGTTTCGGGCTCTCTCCCCCAGAAACCTGAGGCGCACTGGCTATGGATTCAAATCTGGCCCACAAATTCTCGCGTGTTGTCGATATCCAGTGCGCCTCGGCCTTGCGGCGCCCCGCCCAAGAGCGTCCAAGACGCACTGGATGTGGATGTCAGTATTGCCCGCGTCGGGGGCCCAAACTGGAGTTAGCCCGGACCGCAGTTATTCCGGACGACTCGGGCGCCCAAGTCAATGGCCTACCCCTGCACCTCCGGAGGTCCGCGCGGAGCACCCGGCTCGGACTCGCGGAGCGCTCCGGGGGCGGGGCGCCGGAGGCGCCGCCACGTGGCTCCAGTGCAGATCGGAGAGAGAGGTCCGCGCGGACCCCCGCGAGATCTTGCTTACGCCATCGCTTGTTTCCTCGATCACAGCCTCCACTCCTCTCTTAGGGGGGCGGCAAAGAGTGGGGTGATGACCAGTGGGGGGTGGATATCATGGCGGGGGCCGTGATTTTTCCCCAGATTTCATGGCGCCTCTTCTTATTTCATTACGTCCCTGGCCCCCCCGCTGGGCCGCGCACATGCCGCCGGCCATGATTTGCACCCCCCCTCTTGGACACCCCCCTCCTGGCCGCTCCCGACTCTCCCTCGTCCGTCCCGCTGCCCCCCGAGAGCGCGCTCCACGACTCGCGGAGTGCCTCCGCGCAGGCCGTCGGAGGCAGCGCAGGCTTGCTGCTCGAGGTGCCGGATCGGGCACCCCCCGCGGCGGCTCCAGAGGCCGCCCTGCGAGCAGCCGCCCTGCGAGGAGCGGGCCGCGCGTGCCCAGCTGCGCCTCCTCCGCCCTAGCTGCTGAGGCTCTCAATCTCGGAGGTGGACAGACTTCCTGCCCTGACGCGTCGATGGAGGAATGGGCCGCTCTTCGGCTCGCGAGAGGGCGTCGCGGCCGTCCTTAGTTGCGGGCCCAGGTCCTTCCACTTCGGCCCTGGGTCGTTTCCACGAAGGGGAGGTCCATTTCGGCCCTAGGTCCATTTCGGCCCTAGGTCCAGGTCGTCCATTTCGGCCCTAGGTCCAGGTCCTTCCACTTCGGCCATTTAGTTTACGAAAGGGAGGTCTGTCCACCGCCGACAATTCATCTCGGCTCCGCCACGTCTGCGAGCCGCAACGCCCGCCGGGCAGGGCAGGGCCGGGCTCGCGGAGCCGCCCGCTGCCGCCGCCGCGCGCGCGCCCGCTGGCCCCCGCCGCGCCCCCCCGGAGCAGAGCGGGGGCCGCCGCAGCTGCGGGCCCCGGCCGCGCGGGCCTGCTCCCTGTCAGGCTCAGCCACGCGCAGGAGGGGGGTGGGGGGAGGGGGGAGGGCCTCTTGGTAGCACCCCTGCTTCTTAGAAGGCGCGGGCCTTATCTATAGATGTAAGGCGGGCGCCTTCTAAGAAGCAGCCTGCTTCTAAGAAGCCCTCCCCCCTCCCGCCACCCCCTTGTGCGCGCCGCCAACAGGCAGCGGCGAACCGCCCCGGCTTGCCTGCAGGCCCACCGAAGCTTGTCGGGTATAGCCAGGACCCCGGGTAAGGGGACCCGGTTAGTGGTAGGGCCCTGGGGCCCCTCAACTGGCCAGATTCTCCAAACCAGGTTCGCCGTAGCTGGTGTTTTTTCGGGTGACGGCAGTTCCCGTTCGTGGAGATGGGACGGGGGGGCGCCCCCGGTACAAATCACTCAACCAGGTTCCACTAAACCCAGTTCTGCCAACGCCCGAGCCTGTTCTGGGAACCTTACAATGCGGTCTGCACGACGTGCTATCAGAACCTGTCTGGCTCAGAGCGCCTTGTGTTCACACTCGGGTGTAAGCCAGGACCCCAGGCAAGGCGACCTGGTCAGTAGTAGGGCCGCGGAGCCTTCAAATTAGCCAGAATCACTAAACCAGGTCTGCCGTAGCTGGTGTTTTTCGGGTGACGGCAGTTCCGGTTAGTGGAAAATGGCCTGGTGTGCGCCCCCCTATACACATCACTAAACCAGTTCCCGCTAAACCCAGTTCGCCCAACGCCCGAAACACGCGGGCTCGATGATCTAAGAACATTGATTGCTTCTGTTGTTAGAGCATTCTTTTGTTCTAAGAACCGTTCGTGGTAGGGCTGCAGGAATGCCGGAACGGTGGGTACCTGCTCGATGCTCTTTGAGCAGCCCCGGCCGGGCACTGCGCGGCCAGCGCAGTGCGCGCGCGACCTCCGCCTCTCCCTCCCTTCCCTTCTCGGCAACCGCGCGCGCCATCTCTCACTGGCTCTCCCTCCCCTCCCCGCCTCTCTCCATCGCCCCCCTTCTCTCCCTCTCTCTCGTTCTCTTTTGTTTTTGTTTCTCTGTTTCTCTCTCTTCCTCTCTCTCGTTCTCTTTTGTTTTTGTTTCTCGGTTTCTCTCCTCATTTCTCTCGCTCTCTCTCTTTCTTTCTCTTTCCATTCCATCCCTCCCCCATCGGCTATCTCATCTCCCTCCCACCCCTCGTCCGTTCTCCTCCCTCCCTTCTCGCTCCCCCGTCCCCCTCCTCGCCGTCCTGCTCCTCACACGCACTCCTCCCGCGCTGGTCCCCCCGCTCCCCCTCCTCCTCCTCCTCCTCCTCCTCCTCCTCCTCCTCCTCCTGCTCTTCCTCCTCCTGCTCCTCCTCCTCCTCCTGCTGCTCCTGCTCCCCCAATTTCTCCCCGCATCCCTCCCTTTGCCGTCTCGATGTTGGCCGATGGGGTGCGCGCCCCGAGACGGAGCATCGCTGCCGCTGCCTCTGGCAGGACCTCGCCGTGACAACCCGTTGGCCAACCTGCCCGGGCAGCAGCGAACTTCGACCAGGAAATGCTCGGCCAGGCTGGACGCTGCCGGGCCGAGCGCGGCCAGGCTGAATTGGCCTGGTCGGGAGCAGCTGGTCGAGTAGCCTAGGGAGCGCTGCCCAGGAGCTGCCTGCCTTGGCAGCGCTGGCCCGACTCGTGCGCAGCGTTTGCAAGCGCTGCCCGCACGCTTCACGGTTTCGTGGCACGCGTGCCCCAGAGAGTCGAGCGGTTGACGCGTAGAGCTTCTCCAAGATCGCAGGTCCACAAAGCTCGAAGAGTTCCAGCCTCGCCGATTTTGTTCTGCCGACTTTGCTCAATGTCTTGGGCCGCCCTGCCCAGGGGCTCCATGGCCAATCGGTCGCGGCCTCCTTCTGCGAGGCCCGAGCAGGAGCCCGCTGCCCCCGTAGCGCGGGGCAGCCGTGTTTCATGGGCCCGTTTTCAACCACCACCATCAGTTGGAGGGGGTAAGGAGGAGGAGGAGGAGGAGAAGGAGGAGGAGGAGGACGAGGAGGAGGAGGAGGGGGAACAATTGGAGGAGGAGGTGGAGGAGGACCCCCTCCCCCTCCAACTTATGGTGGTGGTGGAAGAAACGGGCCCATCAGTGTCCTTTCCTCGTGGTCACCCTCCCCTGGCGTCGCTCCTCCCGCGGCCCAGCACAGGTGAACCCATCCCCTTCGGCCTCTGCTTCGGCAGCTCGTGCGGTGGGCGTTGGCAGGGCAGCGTGCGGTGTGGCTCCGCGGGGCCGCTTAGAACGCGCCGCCCTGCACCTCGGGGAAGGACGATAGCGTGCACAGAAGTGGGCCCTCGCGGGCGACCGCCTCGCAGGGATGGATTGTGTTTCGGAGATCGATGTTGCACGCTGCTTGTCCAACGCCAACCCTAAGAGTGACCTTTCACTGGGATGGCCTTTGGTGCCGCCCACTGGGGACCCCAGCACTGGCTCGTGCGCGTTGGGTCGGGCCCCCGAGGGCCCCCGAAGGCCCCCGAAGGCCGCGCAGCGAGCGTCACATTTGCCCAGGGGCCCAGGGTCACGCCTGCGCATCGCCGACCTGTGCAGCAGTCACAGGAACCCCTGGCTCACGCCCCGCGCGGGCGGGTGGGGGCGGGCGGGAGGGGAGGCTTCGCAGCAGCCTGCGTCTCCCCCTTCAGTAGGGGAACAACATGTGACATAAACGTAAAAACTCGGAGGTCCGCGCGGATTTCTCGGATCGGCGCTGGGGCCCCCCGGCGGCGCCTCCGGCGCCGCCCCTGGCGCGCTCCGCGCGCCAGGGAGGGGGGTCCAGCGCCGAGTGCCGAGCCGAGAAGTCCGCGCGGACCTCCGAGTTTTTATGTTCATGACATTTTTCGTTCCCCTATTCAGGGAGTCCCTCTCGGGCACCGCGGCCCCCGCGACGCGCCCGCTCGCCCGCGGGGGCGCGCGGGCGGTGGCGCCTCGCCGCGCGGGCCGGAGAGCTGCCCCACCCCAGGGGGGCGGCGCGAGGGCGCGAGGCGCGCCTCGCACGACCCGCGAGGCGCGGGGCTGGTGGGCCGAAGGGAGGCCCGAGGCTTGCGGGTGCCGGGCCGCCCGAGCTCCCGGCGCGGGGCAGCGCGCCAGGTCGGCGTCGGCAGGGGAACAAAAAAGTGGCAGAAGCATAAACATAAAAACTCGGAGGCCCGCGCGGATTTCTCGGATCGGCGATGGGGCCCCCCGGCGGCGCCTCCGGCGCCGCCCCTGGCGCGCTCCGCGCGCCAGGGAGGGGGGTCCAGCGCCGATCCGAGAAATCCGCGCGGGCTTCCGAGTTTGTATGTTTGTGTCACTTGTTGTTCCCCTATTCTGAGCTCCTGGCGTTGGCCGCGCGGGTCGCCAGGGGGGGGTGGCTTCGGGGAATGTGCTTCCAGAGGGGGAAAAACATGCAGGCACAATGGATCGTCGATTCCCCAGGGAATATTTGAAAATACGAGAGTTGGTTGGGAAGACAAGAACCCAGAGAGTGTGGGAAAATATGGTGCATTCTGTTCTTTGTGTCTATCTATGTGTGTGTCCCAGGGCCCCTTCATTGCAGTCAGCAGCGACTTGGGCCAGGGGCGCGGTCGGCGCGGCTGAAGGACGCTCCGGGGCCCAGTGAGGCACAGCGGGGGAAGGACGGGCGCGGCTGCGGGGAGGCAGCCGCGGGCGGCGGAGAGCACGCCCGGAACGTGAAGGTCTCGTGCGCGTGAGCCAGGGCGCGGGCTTACACCAGGCTTCGGGGAGCGAGTAATTGCACAGCCAGAAAAATTGTCGGAGTTCTGCGCGGATTTCTTGAATCGGCGCTCCTCCTGGCGGCGCCTCTGGCGCCGCCCCTGGCGCGTCCCGCGCGAGCCTGGGAGGGGGATCCAGCGCCGATCCAAGAGATCCGGCCTGGCCTCGAAAAGTGTCAGTTTGTGTCTTTGTGTGTTCGTCGACTGCTGAGGCGGTGATCTCGCATAAACCATCACGTATTTCAAAACATTACAAATCAAGTCCATGTTAATTAACATCGGAAGAATGCAAATCCATTCCCCAATGACGCTGCCCATCTCCCGAGGCAATCAAAGCTCAAAGCTTCATTCAATTTCCCAATGGCATTTTTCAATGACACCTTATTTCCACAGATTTTCGTCATGGCACTGTTCAATGACACATGGTTTTTCTGTGACAATGTCTGCGGCACGACTACGGAGTTCAACAAAAGGGTGCTTTATCAGTGACAGAATTTGCGAGGCGAGGACAATATAAGCAAAATGGTGGGTCACTGGTGAACATTTCGGCGCGACAAATGTAAAAACACAGGCTCGCTTCCCAACGCCATGCTTCAATGACACACTAGTTCCCCATAGCATGTGCCGGTGCCACATGTTTGCCCCATGGTACTTCACAATGACGCGTGACTTGCCGATGACATCTTTCGACGACACGTCGTTGCACAACCTCCTGGGGAAATCACATGTCATTCATCAATGGCAGTTGGAAGTCATGTTGTGTTTGATCTCTTTACTCGCGACGCACATTTCGCAGTTCGAAACTTGGTCAGGGAGAGAAACAATGTGATGGCAGCAGGCTTTGTCATTAGACAGGCATGTGTTCCCCCAGTGTGCAGTCGCATGCAGTCAACCCGCATAGTATGGATGAACAACCTTCCCAAGGGTACCCTTGCATCCTTGCCTCCTCGATCCATCCTTGGTCACTTCCGTTGGCCGCGCCCCGCTCGAAAAGTTTAGAAATGGGCGTCCAAGGCCCCTTGCATCCTGACAGCGCATCCATATGATACGGGCCGACTGTGTTCAAGGGTCTCCTTTGTGTTCAGTCCTCGTGCAACAGGTCTCGTCGATCGAAAACAAGATTGGTTCGTCAAAGTTGGTATGGTCCAGGGATACGCTTACCTAGCATACGCTGCATGTTGTTTGTACGTGCTGGTGTGAAGTTTAGTGGTGTTGCTTGGGTGTTTGAAACGAGGACGTTCATAAAAGGCGAGCGGCAATCCGCAAGCCCTCCGAGACCGCGTGCGCTCGCACAAGAGCGCCGCAGCGGGCCCACCCAACTCCCCAACGCGCGGGCCTTTTGCCGCCGACGGTGTGGGGGGCGGGATTTGGGGACCGAATCGGTCGGCCGGGTTGCCATAGGCTGTGGCGCCCTCTGTGCCTGGTGCCCCCAGGTCCTCACAGATAGTTGTGGCGCCCTCTGTAAGGGCTAATCATTATCTACGGCGCGAGAAAGCGACGAAAAACGTTGAAACACAGCGTTGGCCTCGCAATGCCCAAATTTGCGGTGCGAAGAAAGTCCATGATACCGCGCCCGCCCGAACCACCGACTCGAAGTGAAGTGCCCGCAGGTCAGCGCGGCCTGCGAGAGGCGCGGGGGAGTACCCAGCGGCCAGCGCTGGCCACTCTGCGCGCGAACCTGCGCGCGCTAACGCGGCCACCAACGCAGTCATCGCAATCTCCGCCGCATGGGTTTTGCAAACCAAGTTGCGTGCGGGTCGGTGGGGTGATGGCGTTGGCAGTGGAATCGACAGCCTCAAGTTCTGCAAGGTGAACTACAACACGTAGGTTGACCATATAGGTTGCCCCACGTAGATTGCGCAACACCATATAAATTGAGCCACGTTGATTCTGCTTTCCCACATGGAATTCAGAATACCCCAATTTCTGGCTCCATTTGGGGACTTGCAATTGAAATATGGCCATACCCCATCGTTCATATTGAATATGAACTATACCTTCCCAATCAAGCCAGGTTTCCTCCCATCATTTCCGTCAAGTAATCCAATTCACGCACAGTCGTTTACCAAAAGTTACCATGTTGTAAGAACCCCGTGGGGAACCAAACAGGACGACACGCGCACGCGCGCGTCCGCGCGCACGCTTGACGGATGTTTAGGGGGCTTCGTAAGGATTGCAAGACAGAGTTCCCCGAACACCTATACAACATTCGGTTTTGCAGCATGACTTGTCGCAGGAAAGGTTTGCGAGCTTTTGCGGGTTCGTTAGACAACCATTTTTTCCTACATATTCACCAAACGCGACCAAAAGGGCCTCTCGCGCGCGCGTGTCGGAATCATTCGAACGCTCTTGCGCGCGCTGGAGGAGGGGCACGATCCCTGTCAAATAATACCATGCCTGGCCCTCGCGCCCGTCGGCCGCGCGCACATGTCGAAATGGTTCCAAAACTTTGGCCGCCGACGCGTGGGCAGCATCATCGTGGCCGGCGTGATCACTGTCGGCGCCGTCATCAGCCTTGCCGTCGTCATCGTCGCCGTGGTCACCAGCATCGTTGTATGCCATTGTCGATGTCGCCATGATACCGCGCCCGTTCGAGTCACCGACTCGCAGTGACGTGCCCGCGCGTCAGCGCGGCTTGGGAGACGCGTTGGGGTGTGCCCAGCGGTCAGCGCCACCGCGGCCGCATCGGTCGCGCCAGGCTAGCTTGCCGCTCTGCGCACGAACCTGCGCGCGCTAACGCGGCGGCCGCAACGACGCGCCAGCCAGCTCCAAGCAGGCATCGCAATCACCGCCGTCTGGGTGTTGCAAAAACAGTTGCGGTTGGGTCGGTGGGATGATTTCGCGAGCAGCGGAGCTGACAGTTTCAAATTCGGCAAGGTGGGTTGCATCACGCAGATTGCACCCTATATATATATATATATATTGCACAACGTATATTGCACAACGTAGTCTTGCATTACGTACATTGCACGGCATAGGCCTACATTGGCTAGCCTATGTTTGCCATGTTATGAACATCGTGGTTGCAATATAGTCGAACGACTTGCGGCCCATCCTGCCACCGCGCCTGGTTTGTGGGCATAACACCCCCACTGGATGTTCGATGGGATATTGTTGGGAGCTTCTCCGGGGCCTATTTAGAAGCAGTTTGGACGTCTCTTAGGGGGCCGTTTGTGGGTTTATTGGGGTCTCGTTCGGGCTTGTTGGGGGCCTCATCGGGCCTCTTGGGGGCTTCTTTGGGGCCTCATGGGGCCTCTTGGGCACTTCTTTGGGTATCCTGGAAGCATCTCAAGGCGGACGGCTTGGATGTTCGGTTCGTGGTCCCTTGGTTAGGCCCCTGTCGGAGCCGTCGTGGAGCTTTTGGGCAGTTTTGGCCGCCTCTTGGGCTGTCTTGGGGCCCGCTTGGGCTGTTGTGGGCCCCCCTTCTGGAGGCTTTTTGGGCCGTCTTCGGGCGGTCTTGGGGGCTTCTAGGGCCGCCTGGGAGCGTCGGGAAGCCGAAAAGGCGAGAACGCCAAAACCGTTCAACGACCGAAGGGAACTCAATGATTTTGGCCTCTTGGGGCCCTCTTTGGAGGCCTCCTGAGGCCTCTTTGGGGCGTCTTGGAGGCGTTTTGGGCCATCTGGAGGCCACTGACAGCGTCGTTGAGCGATGTTTCCGCGAGTCTAGGCTTTCCTCGACCGATCTGTCACGGCGTCCAGAGCACCCGCAGAAAGCACCCAACAATCTACGGGAGCCAGCCTAGGAAGCCCCAGTGCGGCCCAGGACGGCCCAAGACGCCCTGGGAAACGGCTGACTCGGGCCTTACAAGACCTACGGCTTGTGGTTGTAGCAGCAGCATGGCCTCCACCTCTCAGTGGTGCATCAGCCTTGGGGCAGTCTACCTCGTGCCAGAAGCACGGTGGCAGATTCCCAAGAGGCTCGCGTCATTCCGCCGACCCCCAGAAGAGACGTGGAGTCCACGGTTGAGGCGTCGTGGGCTGCTTGGTCACTACGTGGGGATTTTTGTGGGCGCGTTGGGAGCCGTTTGGGGGCGTGGCGGAGCCTCCTGCAGGCAGTTTGGAAGCGTTCTGGGGGCCGCCGTGGGGCCTCCTTTCTGGGAGGAGGAGGAGGAGGAGGAGGAGGAGGAGGAGGAGGAGGAGGAGGAGGAGGAGGAGGAGGAGGAGGAGGAGGAGGAGGAGGAGGGGGAGGGGGAGGGGGAGGAGGAGGAGGGGAGGAGGAGGAGCAGGAGGAGGAGCAGGAGGAGGAGGAGGAGGAGGGCATTTTGGAAGCCCCTTGGGGTGGAAAGATCGGATTTGGGGTGCGTGGTTTCTCTCTTCGCATCCCTTGGGGCCCTCTTGGGGCTATCTGTGGCCGTCTTGGGCCCCTCCTTGAGCCGTCTTGGAACCCTCTTGGGCCGTCCTGGGGCCCTCGTTGGGGCCTCGTGGGCAGTTTTGGGGCGGTCTACGGGGCCTCCTGGGCCGGCAGTGTTGGCGTCGGGAGCTCGAGAAGAAGAGAACCCCAGAAACAAGTAATAACCAACGACAAACACTTGAAGTGTGCTTTTCGGGGCCCCCTTGGGAAAGCTCGGGGCATCTCGAAGGCGTCTTCTGGCGTCTTGGAGCCCCTTTTGGGCCAATCGTTCTGCGATGCGGGACCATCTTGGAACGTCTTTGAGGCCACGGAAGGCAGATATGGAAGCTCCGGGGTCTGCGGGGGTGCGCCGAGGATTCTGAAGCCTGGGGGAGGAGGAAAGAGGGAGGGGGACAACCAATCATCTCACACGCCTTCTCACCGCCAGCAAGCGGAGGTCGGCGGTTGTCCAACATTGAATGGTACATTTTCACCGTAGATAAAGCATTCAAAGTTTCATGTTTGCCGTTGGTCTTCCAGAATTCAGCGTTTGTGCACACATGATGTTTCAATGTGAACGTTTCCGATGTTGCAATTCCTTACGTCTCATGTTTTGATGTTGGGTTGTCGATATCATTTTTGTTTGGGATGAAGTGTTATTTCTGTTTCAGCGTGCGTGCTTTCTGTTGAACTGAATGCTATACTGCAGATGTCTGCTGTGATCCCCTGCGTGTCATGAACAGCTTGAACGGTTCGTAACGTCTCTCGGGAATATCAAGGGTATGTCAGTGGAAAGTTTCGGTGGTCTGATCTTCTTGCGTAAATGAACCATGTTGGGACTGCGTCGTTCTGAAAATATGTGTTTTCGTCCGTGGCACTTGTACAGTGCCGTTTTGAATACATGCTCCGCGTGCGGATCATGTAAGAAAAAACAGGGATTTGGTATTAAAACGACGATGAGTTCACGCCTACATGTATTCATTAATTAAGCATATATTTTAATCGTATTGTTTTACCAAAAAATCCCATGTATTAAAAAACTGTCCTGTATCTACGGGGAGTCTTGCTGCCTCAGCTCCAATGCGGCTGCAGCCGTCGCCCGGCTCCGGGCACGCACGCGATCGAGAGCGGTTGTGGGGCATGCCGCGCCGCCGGCTCAAGCCTACCACGATTCGGCGCGCGACACGCGACGATTCTCCCGGCCACCTGCCCCGCGGAACGGAGCGACACGGCACCCGCTTGCAGAGTGGTCGTGGGTCCCTCGCGGCGGAGCCAGGCCATGAGCGAGGGGTGGCTCTGGTCCGCCGCCAAGGACACCCGAAGCGAAGGCTTCCAACCGCAGTCCTGAGGTAGGGCCTCTGGCGACGGTGGTTGCAGCACGGTGCTGCGCCGCGCTGCGCCGTCGGGGGTCGGCGCGGCGGGCGGTCTGCGCCGCCGTGGCGGTGGCACGGCTCGCGCCCTGGTCGCCCCCATGTCAGCGGGTCAGGCTCCCAGCGGGGTTGGCGACTGGCCACGCACTTGCCTTGTCAAATTGGGGGGGGGGATTCACCAGCCTCGAACTCATGCCTGTCCCTAAGATTGACACGCCCAAAGGCGAGGACAGTCTTGGGGAGGCGCCCCGAAAAGCTGAGGGAATCCCTAAGATTGGCATCGTGATGAGGCGATGCCCAGCTTAGGGATAGGGTTATGTTCCGGGCTGGTAAGGGCTGCCGCGAGCAAGCCATTCGACGAGACGGGGCATAGACTGCCCACGCGCGTGCTGCGCAGTCGGCGGAAGGGGGTGCGACCTCGGCAGCGAGGTCGACCCGTTTGTGGCTAGGCCCATCGAGGCGGGCACCATCCCCCCATCCCATCCTCTCTCCGCTTCACGCATCCATCCCATCCCCTCTTTTCCTCTCTTCCCACTCTCCCACTCTTGCCTCTCCTCCCTTACCCTGCCTTCTCCGCCGCTCTGGTCACGTCATTCTCCACCTTCTCTGCGCGGTAGTTGCTAGCATTGATTAGGACGCGCTTGGCGACTTTTTGTCGGCTAACAAAAAGAACTTATCCCGATGCGTGCTGAGGTCCCGCTCGGGTCATTCGCCCAACATTCGCGGCGCTGGGCAGCTGCAGCCGGAGAAGTCGCGTAGGCGGAGTGAGGGAGGATCCGCGAGGAATGCGAGGCAGGAAGAGGAGGGTAAGTGTTTCCTCCACGCAGACTTATCCGCCCCTTCCCCACATCGCGCATCATCCTACACCCCGTTGAAGTTCCTCACTCTCCCCCCCCTACTACTGCTCCGACGTGTCCCCGGTGGAACGTCTGGGCCAAGCTCTCGGCAGGATGAGGCTGGGGTGAGGGGCCCCTCGGATGTGCGCCGCTGGACACGTGCACGGTGTGTCCAGCTCGGTGACGCGCATGCCCCGCGCGCATGCTGCCGCAGCACTGCGTGCTCGGTGCGCACGAGCTCCTCTGAAGCACTTCCTTCGGCCATGCCCTCCGCGATGCAGCACCGATCAGTCACGATCGCCTTGAAGACCGACCTCCACGAGGGGGTGCCCGGCATGTCCCTGCACCCGCTCCTCCGGCACAGTAGGAGCTGCGCGCACCCCGCATCGTTGGCCTCAAGCTTCAGGCTGTCCTGCAGATGAATGGACCAGCGGAGTGGTCGAGCGGCCAAGCGAATCGCAGGGGCAAGCCTGCCCATTGACGAGTCTAGGCGTTGCGCTCTGCGACCCCGCACTGCTCATCATCTGTCCACCGGCCGTCGGCCCAGCCCGTCACCGGGCCTCGGCTGTGGGGGGCAGAGGCCTCTTGGATACCTGTTGGGGTATCTTCGTTTGTCTCTTGGGGGCTTCTGAAGGGGCCTCTTGAGGGGACTCTGGGCTGTCTCTGGGGGGCCGTTTGGGGCCGTCTGGGCTAACTCTTGTGGCATGTTGGGAGTTTGAGTGGGATCCATCTGCGGGGGGAAGGACCCCAGGGCCCCTTCGCTTTCCCTCTCTTGGACCGTACTGGAGCGGGCTTGGAGTCGTCTGGGGCTCTCTTGGGACCCTTCGGGGAGCCTCTTGGGCTGATCTTGGAGGCTTCTTGGAGGTTGTTGTTGGGCCGTCTTGGAGTGTCGGAAGCTCGGAACAGCGAGATCCCTTCAACCTCTCCAACACCTCAGGCATATCAACGGTTTGGGCCTCTTGGCATCTCGGGGGGCCTTTTGGGCCGTCTTGAGGCTTATTTGACCGTGAGCCCTCTTTGGACCCTGCAAGTCTATCTTGGTGGTCTCCGACCTCGAGTCAAAGCCACGCGGTGCAATCCGGGAGCCATGCGAAATAATTACCCTGGGAACTCATCTAGAATCTCCTGGAGATCCAGCAAGTGGAGGCCCGGGCCTGTTCAAAACTCGAAAGGACCTGGGGACATTCCACTCAGTGCCTGACAGCCCTGCGGCTGCGTGCGTCTTCACTTCCCATCATCTTCTTCCTCTTTTTCCTCGCCCTCCTCGTCGTCGTCCTCCTCGTCCTCCTCCTCCCCCACCATGCAAAGAGCGCGATGGGAAAGCAGGACACCGTTGTGCTGCTCAGATTGTCCGCATCGTGGAAGCCGAGAGCCCAGCGTCTATGTCATATGCCGCAGTACCCGGTCCTGGGCCCCCGATGGCCCCCACATCCATTTTTGGGCCCCCCCCCCCCCCCTCTGGAGCCTGGGCCTCGCCTGGCCACCCCGGAGTACCAGGGCCCGGGCCCCAGGCCGGCACACCCTCCCGGATTCCTCGGGCCGGACGAGAGGGGATGATTGGGAAAGGGGGGGTTACGAAATCTGCTGCATGCAGCTGCTTTCGGCCCCACCGAGGGGCCCCTTCCTCGATACATGGCAGCCTCCGGCGCCGGGAGGCGCCGGGAGAATCAGCTGCGCGAGCTGATTCTCAAACCCCTCCTTTGCTATCCCCCCCTTTCGCCCGACCCGAATTCCCCTTCCCTTTTTTGGGCCCTCCCCCCCTCCGGGGCCTTCCTGGGCCTCCCCCCAGCCACCCTGACCAACAAAAACATCCTCCAGGGGACACGGATAAGCGACGAGAGCGGCGCAATGTGGCCCAAAACGCCCAAGATGACCTCAAGATGGCCGAAGAGCTTCCAAGAGTTCTCCAAGACGCCCCGGATGTCGAACATCGAGCAATCTCTTTCGGACTATATATATATGTACATACAGATATGCATGTCAGAGTGGGGGTGCCGAACGGTCATTCATTGTCCCTGGGCGCGTGGCTGAATGAGGAATTCGTGGTAAGAATTATGTTTGTTGCGTTGTTGTTGTTGCTGCTGTTGTTGTTATTGTGGGTGTGATTGTGATTGTGGTTGTTGTTGCTGCTGCTGTTTTTGTTGGTGGTGGTTGTGTTGTCGGTTATGTTGTTGTTGCTGCTGGTGCTGCTATTGTTGCTGTTGCTGTTGTTGCTGATGTTGTTGTTGCTGCTGTTGCTGTTGTTGTTGTTGCTGTTGTTGTCGATGTTGTTGTTGTTGATGATGATGTTGTTGTTGTTGTTGTTGTTGTCTGTTGTCGTCGTCGTCCCACTTGCGATCCACCCCGCGACCCACCCCGCGATCCCACCTGCGACCCACCCCGCGACCCACCCCGCGACCCACCCCGCGACCCACCCGCGACCCACCCGCGACCCACCCCGCGACCCACCCCGCGACCCACCCCGCGACCCACCCCGACCCACCCGCGACCCACCCGCGACCCACCCCGCGACCCACCCGCGACCCACCCCGCGACCCACCCGCGACCCACCCGCGACCCACCCCACCCCACCCACCCCAACCCATCCGCGACCCATCCTCGACCCACCCGCGACCCACCCTGCGACCCATTTGCTACCCACCCCGCGACCCATCCTCAAGGGAGGAAAAACTACCCAGACCCGACAATGGAAGTCCCAAACGGCCTTGGGTGTTGATTAAACAGCTCTGCCCTGTTCGATTCATTCCTTGTGTGCGTTTACTAAAAGGCTTCGCTTGCCGGGGTGATTATTATGAGGTGGATTTTCTGCCCTCTACACCCGCGACCCACCGACGACCCACCCGCGACCCACCCCGCGACCCACCCGCGACCCACCCGCGACCCATCTGCGACCCGCCCGCGACCCACCCGCGACCTACCCACATTGGTTAAACGAAGAAATCTGCGCCTGCGGCGGGCTCGTTGTATATAATTTGTGAAACTGTGGCGCCTGCGGCGGGCTTCTCCAGAGTCTTGCAAACTGCCGACGTCCCCACTGCCCCCTCACTCTGATCCGCATATACGGGGTGCTACGTATATATATATATATATATATATATAGAGAGAGAGAGATGTATCTATATATATATACACATACATGCATGCATGCATACATACATACATACATACATGTGTATGTATATGTTTTTATATTTATATATATATATATATATATATATATATATATATATCAGCACATTCGCTTTTTAGGTCATCACAGCGCCTTGGACGACCCCAGAGGGCATGAGGATCGCCCCAAGACGGCCCAACAGGCATTCCCGAGACGGTCGAAGAGGCGCCCAAGACGGCCCAAGATGATGGCCCCTGGAGGGCCCGAGAGGGGAAATTCCAGCTCACAATTCGAGCCCGCCGACCCAAGTGGACCTCCCAGACCGCCAGCAGGTCCCCACGAGGCCCGAAAGAGGCCCCAAGAGGCCCCCAAACACCCCCCGAGAGGCTCCAAGAGGCTTCAAAACTGGCTCCGAGGGGCGCCGAGAATCATGTCAGGAGGCCCCAATAGGTATCCAAGAAGCCTCTGACCCACGTCCCAGGCACGGTGGCAGTACGAGCCGCGAGCGGACAGCACGCCACTGTGCAGTCCAGTCGGGTTTGCTTCGCCTTGGCGGGCGCTCAGCGTCGCGGTAGCCTGGGGGGCGGCCAAGACCGAGGTTTTTGGCTTTGGGCGGCGGACCATTTTCATGGCCCGTCGCCCAGCAATGGGGCGGCCAGTTGCAGCCCGCCCCGTCGCCCACGACATTTCGCCTCCTGCCAGGGTGTCCCGAGGGGCCCCTCCCGTCGCGAGACGCCGTCAAGGGGGTCCTGGGGGGCGATCAAGGTTGAAGCCGCAGTGTCCCGAAGCGCCTCCCCGGGCATCCCCTGTGTGTTCTGAGGTGCCCCCCCCCCGGCAGCGATGCGCGGTCAAGGGGGGGGGGGCCGGGGGGCGCTCAAGGTTGAGGCCGGAGTGTCTCGAGGCACCCCCCCTGCTGCGAGAAGCGTTCAAGGGAGGGAGCCCGTGGAACCTTCAAGGTTGAAGACGTGGTGTCCCGAGGCGCCCCCTAGGCCGCGAAACGCGGTCAAGGGGGGGGGGCTGCCTGGGGGGCGCTCAAGGTTGAAGCCATGGTGTCTCGACGCGCCCCCCCGGCCGCGAAACGCGGTCAAGGGGGGGGGGCCTGGGGGGCGCTTAGAGTTGAAGCCGTGGTGTCCTTGACGCCCAGGAGCCGCTGGACGCGGTGAAGGGGGGAGCGCCAGGGGACCTCTGTCGTGAGGCGTTCTCTCCCCACGTTCATCATATAGTTTGCGTCCCTGCAGCCACATGCATGACCCGTTGATTCAATCTACGCCTAGACGGTCCCAAGGGCGCCCAAGACGCCCCAAGAGATCCCCAAGAGGGCCCCACGGGAGGCCCAAGAGGGCCCCACGAGGGTGCCAAGCGGGGCCGTGGGGCAGTATCTTGGAGGGTGTGGCTCGCAACATTCTTAACATGCCCACGAGACCCCCGAGAGGCCCCCGAAGATTTCAAGAAACCCCGAGAAGCTCCCGAGTGGCCCCGACGAGACGCCGCGAGGCCCCCAAGAGGCGCTGCAGAGGCTTAAAAAGGCCCTTGATAATCACGCCGCAAGCCCACGAGAGGCGTCCAGTGCGCCCATAAGACGCACCTAACGACGAATGATCCATGTCAGGGGTGTGCCGACATGGGCGGGGCGGTGGGATGCGAACCCTGTCTCTGGGGCCGTCGGTTGAAAACCAAACAACAACAACAACAACAACAACAACAACAACAACAAC